TGTTGTATAAAATATAACATTCAAATTAACTTGAAATGATATTATATTTCCATCTCAAGAAGAAGCGTTGATTCACCAGCCACTGGGTAAGAAATGAGGACACATTTCCTGCTGGGATTTCAACTATTGTCATTGCTTTTCAACACAGTAAGTATCTATTTTCCATTTTATGTTTTAGTTAAAAAAAATTATTGTTCGGCTAGACTTTATTTTTGTAAGCAGAAGAAGTTAGTTTTAAGTAATTTTTTAGCTAAATATTTAAAAGGAAAAAACTATAAATAGTCATGGGAATGCTAATTCGTTTCTTGAATTTGTTGAGGGTTCATTGTATGTTTTAGCGATGATGATGTTAATTATTATTACTTTTTTGGTATCATCCAATAATTTATTAATAATCTCTTATATTTTTATGTTCAGGTTTCTCAGCAGCCGAATCAAAACGGTATGTAATACTCTTCTACTAGAAAAGTATTTTTGTTAACAATAGCTTTGAAAGTAAGTGTTCTCTCACAAATTGCTAATTATAACAAAAATTCTTATAATTGCTTTAAGACCTAATTGCTGGATGTCTTGCACACAATTATTCAAAACCATAGCTATGCACTATCCATATATTCCTTGATCATAATATAAAGTGATTTCCTTTCCTTCAATACTTCCCTAAAGTTGGAGTATGAATGTCAAGAACTCAAAATTTTCTATGTTGTTAGTGAAAAACAACTTATTCCAATGATTTAGTAAATAACCACCTATTTAGATTATCTCAATTTTCCCACTTAAATTATTTTTGTTATACTGTTTGGTAATCCATCTCAATGTATTTTGTTCATTCGTGGTACATTGGGTTAACAGCAACATGTAGACTCTAGCACTAATACTTCAAGTATAGACATTCATATGATGAAGTCCACAATTTCGATCTCTCTCCTTTGTATAAATCACACCATGATAGAGAAACTACAATTTCACTAGAATAATCAGGTCTATTTTTCTTCATCAGTGGAGCTGAAGAACATTGTCAGAAGGGTCAACCGCTAGAGGTTATGGTTCTGTCCGATAAACATGGCTCCAGCCACCAATCTACAGTGCAGGCACCTTCTCCTCATCATAATCGTCACAACTACCATGCACCGGCGCCAGCCCCGACTAACGGTGGTACTGGTCTAAAGGCGGCGGTGGGGTCTATTTGTGGCACTACTGCGGTGGGAAGTTTGGTTTCGTTGTGTAGACATTTTTTATTATTCATGGGTTGTAACGTTAAGCTACATTTTATTTTTATTATTCTTTTTATTATAATAATTCAAAATTAATTGAAGAAAAACCCTAAACCCTATAACCCAAAATCTGCCTAGAAATGCCTAA